TTGGACAAGCATCTGTCTGAAATGGTGTAGGGTTTCCTGTCTGAGCAAGGAATTGGACCTCCAATGTCCCTTGTAACTGATTAGATTGATTAGACTAAAATTAATTCAAGTTGCAGGATTGAGAAGCTGTTGCTTCCCTATGGGAAAGCCTTCCCTAGCATACTGAAGTAAAGTTTTGATTTACTTACTTACTTATTTGCTTTTTGACATTGTACAGGGTCTTTGTAGTTTTGTAGTTTTCCAGATTCTTCCCCTCATTGAAAATTCAGTCAAACCTTTCATATATCTTTTTCACCCTTACTCTAAACCCTTTTTAAAGGATAGGTAGATAATTAAAACATCTTCATTAATTTAGCATTCAACCAGGGTTGTCTGGAAGCTTTTAATGAACAGCTTTAATTGTTAGTGTTCTTCAATTTTTGTTCAATATAGTTCAAGTGACTGCTACTTTCAGCATGAATATTTATTTAAAAGGTCATTCAGAACTTACGTATTCAGGATAGAACAACCCCATCCAATCTTTATTTATTATTTAGGAGTTCAAGGTAATACACATAGTGCTCCCTCCTCCCATTCTTCTTTATTAACAAAATTCCTGAGAAGGAAGTTGGGTTAAGCAAAAGTGCATGACTCAAGATCATCTAGTGAGCTCCTATGGCTGAAGGAGGACTTGAACTTGAGCCCCTCATATGTAGCCCAACCTCTTTATCATTACTCCACCATGACTCTCGAGAAGGGCAAGATCCTTGAATTGCATCTTCTCTTTAACCCTATTAAATGGTGAAAAAAAAATTGGCAAAAATGTGGTGCACTTTGTTCCTTGTTTCATCCAAGTTCCTTCAATGGTCTCAGCAACTCCGAATAAAGTAAAATAGCATCATCCCACAACCTGTGCACCTGCTAAAGATTCTGAAACTCCACCTCTCTGGGAGCTTGTGAAACTATCTGGGAACTCAGCCAGAGTCCACACGCCTGCTATATAAGAGGCATCAAAAGACAAGTGGCTTCTCAGAAGCCCGTCATATGGTACATGCTGCCAAGCTCCCCAGGCAGGATGGGGATACGCAGGGGGACTCGAATACCACTATGGATACCTATACTAATGATTATCTTAAGCCATCATCAGAAAGGTAGGCAACTTTAAGAGAAGTTCATTTCCTTTCCTATGGAAGGCATTCAGCAAATGCCTGGCTTCTTGAGGGTCTGATAATTTTACACTGTTTTCTTTGCTTTGCCTCATTAAATGTTATCAGGACTTGGCAAACATTTGCTTGAGTTCTCCTATCAATCACCAATATTCCAGCTTTTAATGACCCCCTGAGCAGGGTTTTGATGGATGAAAATGATAAAAAAAAGAAAAACCAGCGGTTAATGGAGCCAATGCAATATGAACCGTAGAAAATTAATTCTCTCTTTTATGTACATTTTTCTGCAAGGATAAATACAGTTGATCATATGTGAATGTGGAAAGTTACAAACTTGAGAAGGTTAATAAGGCAAATAAAAACACCACATTGTTCAGGTGGCTTGTAATAGCACGATTATTAAGCTCTTGAAGTCTATTGCAAAGTTCATGCTATTTTGCTGAATTAGAAAGCCAACATTGAATTGATTGCATTTAAAATCATCGGCCATTCAAGGAATGTGCACTTTATGCCCTCCTGGGATCATGTACTGTCCTGTAATTTATCAGTACAAACAAGCATTTTTGAGATAAGGAACAGACCTTTATTTCATGTGATCTATGGAGACAAGGTATTCTGAAAAGATGATGTTCTGGATATTTTCTTAAGCATTTAAATTCATTTCCCAGAGAAACTGGAGATGGAAATTATGAGGGTCAAAACTGTTCAAAAGACAACATGTAAAAAATTGACTGAAACCATAACCAAATATATTTATCTTTAGCAGTGTCTCTATACATTATCTTCTTGGAAAAATACTATCCATTTTTCTTCCATCCCCTTCATAGTTGAAATAAGTGCAGCTCTCTTTTGAATCTTCAGGGGCTTTGTTTATATCAATAAATATGATTAATTGTACCTCATAACAGACAGGGATGCTTATATAGGTTTCATAGAATATGCTATACTGATACCTTAGCAGATATGCCTGAATTAAGATTCCATTTCCTTCTTTTGTCCATGCATACTGGACAAGTAGCATTAAGATCAAGTGCGGTTATTGTGAAACACATTTGCCCAGTTTCTACTCAAGGTACTTGTAATAAGATGTTGAGAAGTTTTCTAAGAGACCCAAAAGAAGAAAATACAAGTTCATATTTTAATATGCTTCTGGTTTCAGCATAAAATTCAAGACTCATTGTGATAATATTGAATTTGATTAATGTCAAAGAATTTTGATGTGTTGTACTAAGATGGAATGAAGTAGTTTAGAATCTACCAAAATCTAATATTATTCATTTTGGATGGTAACTGATATGTTAGAGTATAAATGTAAGGCTCAAAAGCAGTGAAAAGGTAAAATCTATTTTAGGTTCTTCTACTTTCTTCATTATTGTCACCATCATCATCATCATCGTTCTAGCATACATTTCAACCAGGAAAGACAGAAATATTATACCATTCTATATAAACAAATAACACACTGTAGACATACATGCATATCAATCATAGTCTCCTAATAAAATATATAAAATAATTTAAATTGTAAGTTATTTTGTATTAATAACAGACTTAAAATAAACTGCTAACATATATGTGTATATGAATTGCTTCATGTGATTACATTTAGAATATTCTAGAGTTCTGGCTATTTCTTTATAAGAAAGGAAAGAGCAAAAATATTTAGCAACATAGTGCTCTTCCACAGGAGTAAAATCAGTTGAAAATGTTTAGGTTTGGAAGAATAGTTGACTAAAAGGTGAATCATACTAGTAAACTTCTAAATGCTCTTAAGAAAGAAGATCAAGAAAATGTTTCTCCCTTCTCTTTTGGTAGAATAGGAATACTCAATGAACTACACAGATGGCAACTGAAGAGAGACTAAGGAAAGTATTTCGCCACCTGGCATACAGTTATGGAACTAGATGTTACAAGCCAAAAGAATTGTCACTGCCTTAAAAATAGTTGTAGACTTCTGTATTCAGAGGCAGCACAAATTAAATTTCTATTTGCAGGATGAAAACAGAGGAAAGGGGACCATTAACCCTGTGCTACTTAGAGACTTTCTAGAAGTATCTAGAAGTATCTTGCTAGATGCTATACTTTTATCTAGTGCGGCTCAAGTTTTGATACTGTTGAGTTCTAGATGGAGACAAGCAGACCTCATCTCTGAAAACTTACTTTTATAACATTTTTAGATGTTCTACAATTTATTCCAATGACTATAATTACTATGACCAGGTTCATAAGGCAAAAGGAGAAAGAAATAACTTACTTTGAAATATGTTGTATTTAGGACCAATAAATGCCAAGAAGGATTGCAAAAATATGTAACAAGACACTTGGTAGATTGTTTCCAGATTTATTTATACAGTATATAGACTAGAAAAACTGAAACCAATAGGATTTTAGTGAGTTTTGACTGATGGCGATTTCACTGATTTTAAAGAAGCTGCCACATGTATATTGAAATGCATGTACATCCACAAAAGAGTTGCACAGAAAGATTTGTCATACATGAAGGAGAAAGAGAGAGGGAGAGGGAGAGGGAGAGGGAGAGGGAGGGAGGGAGAGAGCTACTTTTAGCTGCTTCAAATGCTGATGATGAATAGACAAAATAGAATATCCCAATGGATAAATAAAACACTAGAAGGACAACAATATTTTGCAGAATTGTTGCTGGTGAATTTTTCATGAAATCCATGACCATTAATTTTGTGCTTTTCTAATTATTGCTGCAGTACGTGCCCAGCTTCAATATGAGGACCAGCAATCCCAATATGAGGACCAGCAATCCCAATATATGGATCAGCAATCCCAGTATGAAGATCAGCAGTCCCAATATGTGGACCAACAGCTCTTCCCTCCTGACGAGCAGCACGTGCAGCAGACACATGACTGTAGGTATCTGTAACATTATGTACAGGGCAGAGCAAAAGGTGAAAAATAAGAATGCATAGCCCCACATTTCTACTGGTCTTTCAGGAAGACCAATAGATTGCTTTCAGGTTGATTCCTCTGTCTGAGCAGCAAGCTGTAGGCAGAGAAAGCATTGGGCTTTCTCTTAGAACAGCAGCATGATTAAAAGAGCAGCATGATTAAAGCATGACTAAATGATTAAGGCCTGGAGACAAAAAACATATGGAGAATGGTTGCAGGAACTGGGTAACACTAGTCTAGGAAAAAAATGGGCTAGTGGTGACATTGTAGCAGCATTCCACTATCTGAGGGGTCGCCATAAAGAAGAGGGCATCAGCCTATTCTTCAGAGCACTAGAAGGCAAGACAAGAAACATTGGATGGAAACTAATCAAGGAGAGAAGCAACCTGGAATTAAGGAGAAACTTCCTAACAGTGAGAACATTCAACAGCTTGCCTTCAGAAGTTGTGGGAGCTCCATCACTGGAGCACTGGAGGTTTCTAAGAAAAGACTGGACAGCCATCTGTTTGAAATGGTATAGGGTCTCCTGCTTGAATAGGGGGTTGGGCTAGAAGACCTCCAAGGTCCCTTCCAGCTCTATTCTGATTAAGCACAGAGCAGAGAGAGGAAAAGAGCTGTCAGACCCTCCGCGAGGTATACAGTTTCAAATCACTCTTCTCTTTACACTTTAGCTTTATTTTCACAAAGCGTTTCAGAGATAAGGAACTAGTAGAGCCAGTAAGAGCCACCACCCCTTTGCCAAAACAGGCCATTCATAATTACACAGATGGTCATCCAAACTACATCATTGGCACTTGTGCCACCAGGAAGTTATTTTTAAATTAAAGTTTCCTAATATATAACATTATCCATCCATCCCTCTCTCCTTTTCTCATTCTGTAATGTGAACTCATTGTTTTGAGCCCAACAACAACAAATACATTTGCTTCATCACCTATGCATAATAGCCCTTCAGATATGAAGATGGTGATCATATCACCTGTTAATCATCTTTCCTTCAGGCCAATGGGAAGTGGAGTGGAACAGGAATGTGGGCATTATCCCAAGGTATAAGTAGGCAAGAACCTGCAGACTCTATTAGAGGTGGGCATTGTTTGAGCTCAGCTGGACAGAAGATTCAGAAACACAGGGATTTGACAACCAGCTACTCTCTCCTTATAGTAAGGCTTCTATCTCTTCAAAGAGAGGTGATAGAAGGACTAAGTGGCAAGAGGTTTAGCAAAGGCCAGTAGAAAGAAGCAGGCAACAGCTTCTTCTATCATCCTTCTACATACAATACATATAGAACATGTTATACAGTTGAGACATTACTAGGCTCAAAGTATCATTGAGAAAAAGCTTACAGACAGCCTTGGGGAGAGAATATTTGGGGATATGCTTGCAAAGCCAGTCAACCAATCCTGTATTCTTACTTCCCTCAACCGGTCCTTCTAATTGCTTTTGTGGTTGGCAGCTGTCCAGCACACTAAAAGCAAAATTAACTGTTCACCTACCTTCAATATCACCTACTTCATGCAAATAATTGCATGTCCTACAGCTGTTCTTTCCATTTAAAATAAAAGTGGAATCTTCCAAATAAGAGTTTGGCTAGCAAAAAAGCATGAGGTATTGTTCATATTTATCAGTTAAGCAGCATACTTACAAACCACACCGGTATTTAATCTAAAACTGTATTTGAATAATGATGCTGAACAAATATGTTCTGTGTATGTGTGCATATACAAGCAATACACCCATGATAGTAAGTAATTTACACCCATGATAGTAATTAAAAATTAACTAGCCTTTTGATCTTAGGTTGTCATTACATCCCTTCCAATTTAGAAAAGGGCAATTTAGCTTCAAGTCTATATTTCTTTGGCTGTAGTAAGAATGGTTTGGATAGAACTGTTACAGAATCATTAAAGTTGAAGAAATTAAAATAAGAATGAGGTATATACAGTACCTACTAAAGTACAACATTTAAGATACGTATTTACCTGTGAAATGGATGAATTCTTTTTCTTGGTTCAGTTCTTAATATAAACCCTCTAGATTTTGATCATTATCTACAAATCTAAATGTAATTTTCCAGTCAGGTTTTTTGACATGTATTATGAAAAGAAACATCAAGATGGGCTTTAAAGTAGTTTAAGGTATGCATTTCATTCAATTCACTTTCTATACAAGGTTGAAGTCAAGTCAACCTGAATCCTCTATTAAATCATTAAACCGTTCAACTATAAAAAAAAGCTATACTGCCACAGTCACATGGTGCCAAATAGTAAGGACCAGTTCTTCACTTATATAGATAAATGGCAAATATGAGTTGCTCTGCAAATGGAAGGGTGGAGAAATCTTGCTGTGATTTTTGTCTTAAACAGATTAGGCTGTGATGAAAGACAAACTTGGGATGGTAACTGCTTATTGGCAAGCAGCCACATTTAACAGCTTCTGAGTGGATTAAGACCACAGTGAATGAAAAAATAATAGAAAATGCTTGGAGCAGTGCTTATGCTTATGGGCCTGACCAGGATTTTCAGTTGTTGCTTTCTTCTGTATTTCTGAGAGAGAGAAAAATATTTTGTGTGAAAATAATGCTGACAATGTTAGGCTTAACATTTTTTTTGTCATTTTTCTCTCTCAAAATAGCTGGAAACCATTTGGGGCCATAAAGGTCTAGGAACTACAACAAAACTAATGTCAAGATTCTTTGGTTCACCGGCCCTGTATTTGAGGGATCAGGACTCCTTTCCTCATACAAAATTTAATGAGTCACTATTTCAGTAGTGATTTAAATTCTTGGTTCAAGCTTGTCAACAAAAATATTCTTTAAAAAGACATTTTATTAGAATTTTAGAATATAATAAAAGTATAAAAAAAGAAAATCAGGAAATAAAGAAAGAAAGAAAAGTGGGGGGGGGAGAAAACAGAATTGGGACTTCTGCCCTTTTTTCTGTTGTGTAATTGCCATCTTCACAAAGAAATGTTTTTTAAAGATAAACACACAATTGAAATACTAATGTACTGTTCCACTACCCATTTATAAAGAAATTCAAGTGCAGAAAAGGATTCATTCTCTCACATTTTGATATTGATTGCACAATGGAAAGAAAATGTTTGCCAACATGGCTATTTTTATATAGGACACCAGTTTAAGAATTAAGCTTAATTATATGAAGAAAAGTTCCCATAATTTTAGCACTGATGATGATTTCATATGGTAACATTGCAATTACAATATGAGATATAACAGAGTTTATACATCGGAATGATGTATTTGAATGATGTATTACTATTTTCTCTATTTTTTTTCTTTGAAAACTTTGTTACAAGAGTTATGTGCATATTTATTCAGGAAAAGATCTCACTAAATTCAGAGTAA